AACACTTGTATTGCGTACTGCGTGCTCGAACGTGTGTATATTGATTGTACATAGTACATATTACATATTTCTACTTATAATTGCTACTTACATATATCTCCTTAACTACATGCCACATACTTACAACATACTACATACATGTGCTCCATCCCCCGTGCTACATGCATACTGCATACAACAAGCCCATCCCGAAGGCTATCTAGAGCCCGAGACGGGGCCGAGGGGTGAATTCCTAGACGAAGAGTTGCACGGCAGTTTTGATTCTGGGGGATTGGTTTGTGGAGGTTGGCTGGGTTGGGAAGAGGGGAGGGTCTGTGGGGTTTTATGAGTGGATGGTCTTGTAATCTCTTGGTTTGTTCAAATTAAGGGGGATTATCTTGGGGTGATGGGCGTGGGTAAATGGAAATGGAGATGGAGATGGAGATAGAGAGGGGAGAGGAGCTTGAAGTTGGGGCTGGGGTTTGGATTTTGATTCGGGCTGGGGGAGGGGGTTTGGTGCCTGATTTGCATTGGGTATGGATTTGATGCATGAGAGGCGTTGATGTGAGGCGTTGAGTACATTGGATCAGCTACTGGATCAGCTACTGCTGTCGATTAAATGTGGAGGCGAAATGGTACACTAAATAGAACATGTGTATCAAAGAAGAAATTCCAATGGTATTGGGTATCGTAGACTAAGTATATACAGTAAAAAGGGAAGTTCACTATAAGCCCCACTCAAACCACAATCAAGAGATGATGGTCTGGTTTTTATAATAGTCGCAAGCATGAGGGTGCTGCAGACAATATTTGGGCACAAGAGCAGTAGCCATAACACCATTGGCAACGAGGTATTCACGGAAGTTCAGCAGACGCTGAGTCATGAGGTTGGTACGCTTTCTGCCCGCAGCATCACGGTTACCAGACCAGACAAGCTCACCCAGCGCAGCAGCGCGAGGCCAGAACGCGCTGGAGATGGTCACATCGTCAATCTGCTCCGACCACAAAGGAGCCTCAGCGCCGATGACGTGTTTCGCCTCGGAGGCAGTGAGATTGGTCAGGAAATCGTAGTCATAAATTCGCTGCCAGGTCTTGTAGGGTGCGCACCAGCTGCCACCGCTGCCACCGTAGTTGAAGGTCACGCCGCCGGCAGTGTTGCTCTGCTCGTTGTAGCGGGGGTCGTTGGTGATGGCACCGCCGTGGCCGCAGTCGAGGTAGAGGAAATCGGAGGTGGAAACAACAACGTCGTAGCCGGCCGAGGTGAGCTTCTTGATGTTACCATCGCCGGCGTTCCAGGTCTGCATGACGACGTCTTTGGGAACATCGTGGGCGCTCTCAGTTGCGACGACAATGTCTTCCCACATCATGAGACGGCGGTGGTCGCCAACACCGCGGAAGATGGGTAAAGAGTGGTCAACCCAGTACTGACTAAGGTCATTATAGGTGCGCGAGGGATCCTCGGCAAACCACTTGGTGATGTGACTGCTGAAGTTATAGCAGTTGGGCTGGATCTCGTCGGCACCAACGTGGAAGAAGTTGTCGCTGAATATACTGGACAATTCCTCGTAGACATCCTTGACTACTTCGTAGGTCTTGGGATAGATAATATCGAGCTGGCCGGGGTTCGGCTCGACAGCGGTGTGTTCCGACCACACGTCGTTTGACCACCAGGAATTGGCACAAGCTACGATTTCCGGGTCAACCTGTTGCCAACCTGAGGCAGAGTGGCCGGGCATGTCGACCTCGGGGATGACGCGGACACCTCGCTCGCTGGCGTAGGTAACCACGCGACGCATGTCTTCCTCTGTGTAGATTTCACGGGGCGAGTAGGCATCCTTGGTCATCTCGGGGTAGGAGCTCATCTGCATGGGCCACGACTGAGCATCGTCCAAGTGCCAGTGGAGAACGTTCAGCTTGGACAGAGCCATACCGTCGATCTGCTCGAGGATCTTGCGAACAGTGATGAAGTTACGGCCAGTGTCCATCATGATACCACGATGGGGGTACAACGGGGCATCCTTGATCTTAACGGGCTGTTCAACGATCAAGCCACCCTTACCATCTGAGATGATAATCTGCTGCAGGGTGGTGAAGGCATGCAATACACCCCAGACCGTCTGAGCATTGATCTGAATGCCGCCATTGGCCACCACCAGTGTATAGGATTCATCCACGCCATGTTGGAGATCGACATCGTTATCCACCACATGGACATCAACGTTGCGGGCTACCGAGGGCGCGCGTTTGGCCTTGGAGGTAGGAGTGGAGACAGGGGTCGCGGTAGGGAAGGCTGGGTAGGAGACGATAGGGGCTTCAACGGCAGCAGGAACCCATTGCAGGGTAGTGATGGTTGTCCATGCTCGCTCCCAAGCTTGAGTGACAATAAAAGAGTGACTACCGTTCAAGTGCAAGTGGTTGACTTGAATTGGACCGGAGGATCCCCAGGTGATGTTACGGGGAGCCGGAAGTGGATTCACTTGGACAGCGGAAACAGCCGTTAGGGCCCCGAGCGCACTCAGGACAGAGGCGAACTTCATGTTGATGAGTTGAGCGATGATGAGAAAAAGAATAAGTGAAACCAGGAGATAACCAGACCTATTTATGTTCAGTTTCATTGCCGATCCTTCCATCGGAATGTGTCTTGGATGCAACCTGGGGAAGATGGAGATCGGGAAAACAAACAAACAACTCCCTTGTTACATTGCATCTATCACTAAACAGTCACTAAACCAAGTCAAGTCAATCAGTTTCAAACTTAAATGGGAAAATTAAAAGAGGAGAAAAGTGCTACGTCTATATGCAACTTCAACTTGTCTGATAACACGATGGACATGACACGTTAAAAAGAGGGGGAAGGCGACGGAAATGGCACAGTCACACTGTCGATCTACCCGTGGACAACTTATCAACCTCCAAACTTGGAAAGTAACATAAATCTCAGATCGAAGGTATCATTTAATCTATTTATCTATATTAGACCGTCTCCAACGACTTTTCCAACTCCATACCCTCCCGGAACTCCTCCTTAATGGCCGCCGCCTCCTTATCAGAGGGCACGACACACGGCCGTCGAGGAAGACCACCATACCCACGGTATGATTGCAGACCAGTCTTAACAGCGATAAATCCACCATGGATAGCAGCCCAGTCAGCGCGCGCAACAATAGCCTGCACCTTCTGCGCCTCCTGAATTTTGCCAGCACGATACAACTCCATCAGACGCACACACGAGCGAGGAATCATATTAGCCGTTCCACCAATAATGCCCGCCCCACCAGCAATAAGCGTCTGAAGCGTGAAATCGGCTGAACCACCAAAAGTCAAGAAATCAGGCTTCGCCGCCGCAACACGAGCAAGCTTACCCGTGTTACCGCACGTGAGCTTGCAACCGATGATATTGGGGTGTTCGGCAAGCTTGACGATATCATCTGAGCTGAGATCAAGACCGGACTGCACGCCGGGGAAGTTGTAGATAAGAACAGGGATGGGTGAGGCATCGGCCACAGCCCGGAAGTGAGCGTGCAAGGCCTCGGTGCTGACGAGGGCCTTGTAGTAGCTGGGTGGGAGGACAAGGACAGCATCGGCGCCTGCAGCGCCAGAGTCCTGGCATAATTGGATTGTTTCACGGGTTGAAGCGGCACCGGTGCCGGCGATCACGGGCATGCTGGTGTAGCCGGCTGCGTCGACGGCGCGGCGGGTCGCGGCTGTGATGGCCTTGCGCTCTTCGCGATCTAGGTGCACGGCTTCGCCATTACTGCCCTGGGTTACTATGCCGGTAACCCCACTGCGGGCGAGGTAGACAGCGTGTTTCTCAACTGTTGCGAGGTCGACTTCTTCGTCGGGCTTGAAGAATGCTACGGTGGGGACGTAGACACCGTGGGGGAGGGGATTTCGGTTGGTTCCGTTGGTCATTTTGGAGGCGATAGATTCAGTCTATTGGGTTTGTTAGTACTTGTAAGTTTCTCTTCTTCTCCGGAGGTGTTCATACCAAATATCACTGGAGGAAGAATAAAGAGGATCAATATTGGCGGATCTACAGCTATTTAGCTAGAGATCTTCTTCCCCCACGTTCACCCCACTGGGTTTTTATGAATTAGCCGAGTGAATTTGCATTTGAAACTTGGCATCCATGCGTGGGTGATGCATTTCCATTCGGACATCATTTTCCCCCTCCCCCACGCTTTATGCGGGGTTGACTTCCGAGGTATATGATGGTACATGATGGTACTGGTAAACTACGGTTGGACTTTATATTTACTTATTTATTTCAATTAGGGTATTCTAGTTTCCTCTTTTTCTCTTTGGAGCACAAAATCGGTGAGATTTTGTGTGATGCCTTGTGCAACGATCTAGATATAATATATATATACTTCTGAATCTACTCAGAGCTATGTGATCACTACTATTACTAGTCAGGTGTTACTTTCTATTACCCAACATACTCCTTTGAATATCCAATGAAGCTACTAGCCTTCTCGGCCCCCTCATATATATGGGAATTGATTGGAGTTGATTGGAATCCCTGGCAATCTGGCAGTGGTTGAATTGCCGTCCCCCACACTGCCCAGGGCCGTGGGGGTATGTCATTTTCCGAGATATTGGGGATTTCGGGGATATTCTGGATATTCTCAATATTCTCAATATTATTACATTTCTAATAGAACCTACTTAGAAAACTTAACAAAGGGAATGATTAGAACCCGTAGAATCAAAGTGGAGTGATGGTTCTACATTATAGCTCGTTGTCTATGTGTCTCTGAATAGGCGATGATTCTATTAATTCTGAATAGAACAATAGAACAAGGACAAAACCATTGTGAATTTGTGAATAGAATCATAAAACAATAGATAATAGCTCATATCTTCTAATATTTATATACAAACCACCTTAAATCACCTTAAACACCTTAAAACACCTCCGCCAAGAACTTCTCGCATGCCCATAACTCATCCAATCCCTGTAAAACCTTGGAAAGGGAATATCCCCCCAATCCACCACACAATGAACTGATCTCCCAACAATGGCCCTCCTGTCGCGGTCTTCCCTCCGCTCTGTGCGACGGGCGCCCGAAGAACCTGCCGACAGTCTAGCACCGCCGACAAAGAAACCGCGCATCGAAAATCGCGACCGCAAGAGCTCCCCCGATTGTCTCGACACCAAAGATCCTACCTCAAAATCCCGTCCTACCTCCCTGAAACCCTCGCGACCGCGCACCTCCAATCGCACTCGTCGCGACTCCTCCTCGTCCGTGGACACTGTCGCCTCCTCCGTCGGACGATTGGGGACTCCGGCGACACGTACAAACGGAAATGGCATCCTCAAGACCCCACGCGTCCGCCGTGACCAAGGAACCCCCTCCGGCGCAGATCTGCTGCGCGGTGTGCATGAGTCGCCAGATCCATTGGACACGATCTCTCCAGCGCCCTCGGTCGCGAAGCAGCGCACCGTTACCCCAGCGAACGTGGTCTCGAATGTCAAGCCCACTTCACCTGTGACCCGCACGACTCGTCGCAATGAGAATAGATCGCTGGCCGACGTCGACGAGAACGCGACTAAGAAAGAGGGTGCTGTGGACGACGTGACCTCGACGCGAGAGAACAAGACCGAGGCGCCTGCCGAGCAACCTGCATCGACAGACACACGGTCGGGGAGACGGTCGTTGCGTTCAACAGATACCGGATCACGGTGCAAGAGCGAGCTTGCGCAGTATTTCCACAACTATGAACAGATTATCAGTCTGGAAGTCCCTGAACCTGGTAGGTTACTTGATACTCTGGGAGTGGATGGAGCGCATCGCTGATATTGGATACTATACAGAATTCCTCGCCGCGAAAACAACCATCACTCTCGTGGACGATCTATCGCGACCACTACCTTTCTGCTCAAACCCCGACCCTACACCTTTCGGTAACCCACTACTTAAGCTCTACGACTGTGAAAAGATCACCCTCCCCAAACCCGCATCAAACACACCTGCAATCGACCCACTGAGGGAAGAGACCTATTTCCGCGCGCATCGCAAGTTCGAGCGACAAGAGAAACAACTCCGCAATATCGAGCGCAACCGCGCTCAACATGAACAGCAAGTCCTGGAGCGCCTTCTGGACGAGCTACGCGGCCATGACTGGCTACGCATGATGGGCCTGACGGGCGTCCATGAGAGCGAGAAGAAGCTCTATGAGCCGAAGCGCGATATCTTAATCCAAGAGCTAGTCACTCTGGTCAACAAGTTCCAAGCATGGAAAGACGAAGAGCGTCGACGAAAATTGGAAAAGGAAAAAGCTCACCCGGTGCCAGGAACCGAGGTAGCATCCAATGCTCCGCCCCGACAGCACTCGCGCAAACGATCCCGTCCCGCCGAAGAGGCGGATACCTCCCCGGCACCGGGGATTGATATGCAAAGCATGCCAGATGTAGATGCAGAGCCAGATCCAGACCCAAGTGACATCGATGCCTTAGCTGCGCGCCAGCTCCACCAGGAAGCTCGCTCAGCTGGCGCTGCTAAATCGCGCAAGGCAGCCCCTGCTGCTCGCAAGTCTATCTCGAAACCGGCCCCCAATACCAACACTACCACTAACAGTACCAACACAACTATTACTACCACCAACACAAAAGACCATGAACCAACACCAACACCAACACCCACTCCCAAACGCAAAAAGCCAAACCCAACACCCACAAAGCCTCACCCACAACCCCCCGGCCCCAACACCAACAAAAACCCCAAAACCCGCCCCCAAACTCCAACAAGCCTCCCTCTCCCACTTCTGGAATCCAGCCCCACGAACCGGCCCCTTCACATCCTTCTTCCGCCAACGACACGTCCGCGATGCAGCCATCGCCGCAACAAAAGGTATTCGCCGCGGCGGGTCTCGCTCAACACTCGCATTCGGATATCAAGTTCCTGAACAGGAAGAACAGGAATTCGAGTTGCCGCCGGAGATCCTAAATGAGGATTCTATTCAGCAGTCGCAACGGAAGAGACGGAGACTTAAGAGACGGAGTCTGGGGGGTTGATTGGATGTGGTTGATTCTACAATGGTGCATGGTGCATGGTGCATACAACATGGTTGGTTCTTTTTTTTGTATGATAGCATTTTTACTAGCATGGTGTTTCTGCGGGTTACTTTTTATCTTAGTTTTTTCCGGACTGAAAGTCCGCTGGCGTTGGTGTTGGTGTTGGGTTGGTGATGGATGGGATTCATCTCTGGCTGAGGTTCGCTTTTTTTTTTTAAAAAGAAATCTTGTACACATACAATAATTAGTTCAGGGTCAATCTGATACCGTTGAATACATAGATATTATTATCTTCAATTTGGTATTACTAGTAAAACCATGCAACTTCTAGAGATTAGTAGATGTGTTATATGCAGGTAAGAATATCACTACCGCCGTTGGTGTCAAGAATGCATACGACCATTCGAAGGTGGTGGATCTGCAGAGCCGCCGAGGTGATCCTTCGCTGTACTAGCAGTGACAAGGCTTGCAGGATATGTTCCCAACACAAGTCAAGTCTGTATTGGTTTGGTCTGGGTATCGTTATGAGCTTATATGTTGGTTCACGAATTCGTGGCGTTCCTGCCATATCGGGCCATCTTTACTCTGAGACTAGGGCAGTAGAGTCTCCTGTTAGCGGGTGCAGACTTGCTGTGAATTATGTATGTGTGGACCTGACTTAAGATTGATATCTTACTCTGGCTTCTCCGACTTCGCCGGCAAAGTAGGGTTAAAGTTAAAGCATGGTGTGACGAGGACCTTGACGAGGAAGGAGGCCTGTTAGTAGACATGGGCTTAAATGGTGAAACAATTGGGTTTATGCAATTATGGCTTCAAGATTGAGTGTATATGGGACGCATGAGGGACTTCATTCTGAATTGTGCTGAAGATCTCCTCGAGCTAACTAAGTGGTTTGCTTAGATAGGACAGCATTTGGCCTGCCTATCTCTCTTTGTGAAATATGAGAGGATGTTCTGTCTCCCTGTTGTCTTGCCAGTGCGGAAAACCCATACATGGCTCACACCCGAGTGATGGTTATGATAGTATTGTCCGAGGAGAATGCATTCCTAACTCTAGCCAGACACTGGTATCACTTGCCCGGTAACAATGCCGCCGTGAAAGAACCCGTCATATTCAGTTCCGCTTCCAGGTCGGCGAGGTGAGTTTGTTGGCAATTGCATCGATGTGGTCGCAATCGCCGAGAAGGCCTGCGGTATCATATTTTCGCTTCTTGGTTTCCGTGACTAGGGACGCGATTGAGGGGCTTTGTTGTGGGTCAATGTTCTGCATGGGATGTAGTTGTCGACAGCTAAATGTGTTGCTGGATGCTGACCCTCGTTTGTGTTTATCAGTTGGACAGTCCTCGTTGGCTCAATCGGCGGGATCATGAATGAAAAAACGATGGGAAACACAAGAAAACCTTCGGTCTGATATTAAGTGGTCGTGTGTCGTTCACCGCATTTCCTCCTTAATAGATCGACTCTCCCTCGTTGTTAGCTTTTGAACCGCTCTTCAGATGGAAAGCAGCGATGTTCGTTGGCGGGGTCAAATTGACTGCATCTTTCCAGTAGGTAATGTCCTTGTGCTTGTACCGTAAATTCAACGGCCTGTGCTCCCACCGCAGTCTTAGGGACACATGGAGGAAAGCGACAAGGGAAGAAATGGAGGAAATCATCGCAAGGTTATGGCATGTTTCAACCTCGGTGCCGACATGGGATGCCTTCTAGCGTTCCCAAGACAAAATTCTCCCAGAACTGACTTGGGCCAAACCTTGGTTGAGTTCAAGAGTCGTGAGAGTGCGAGAGACAGTGACTCGGTGGAGATAGACAGCTCTTCTACATGCTATTTGATGGAGCTGTTCTTTCTCTTTGTAGTTTTGTCCGATGAAAGGTGAAGCATTGTCTCAAGGTCGATGATTGACAGCAATCGAGCATATCATTCCCATGTCATGCACATAAACACACCCGCTGGCCCAATTGTCTCATGCGTCGGTTATTTGCATGTTGGGTGGTATTTCGATGAACGAGCGCGGGACGATAAGGAATATGGTCTCCTCGTATGTGCTTAGAAAGCCATGTGAGACATTCATTGTCTCTCATGTATAGGAAAGGCTGTCCGAGAGGCATCCTTTCGATAACCTTTTCAAAGTTATGCACCACCTCTGTAACTTGCGTAGCTTGTCCCTCAAGTACAAGCATGGATACCCGGGTTCACGAGGACCGGATGAGCTTCTTCTTTCTCCATGCAGAGAGTAAAGCTCGTTGAGAATCCTTTTCATTCAGAATGTTTCTGGGACAACATGAACTTGGCCTTAGCAGTGTCGGTTGTATCAGGGCATTCGACCGTATATCTAGGAATATCCACCAAGCGTGTCATGTGGCTGGAACTGTCTTTTGTAATGACACCCAGGAGGATTATGAAATGGTGATGGTTGGTACCCATGATGTCGCGGGCGGAGCTAACGCTTCTTCCATAGCTTACTGGATCTCGTCCTCTGGCTTAAAGTATTGGCGAACGACAATGTGTCGCGTGCTCACGAACGCTGCAGATACCATGACTGAGTCGAGTGTGAAAGCAGGCACATTTTTAACGTTTTGGTCTGTTTTTCAGAGAAAGGTACCCGTTATGAGCATGGGCGCGTCTGGTCAAAGGTGAGCGATATCTTGCGACGTAAGCCGAATAGCAATCCATACCACCAACCTAGCGGCGTGGGATCCTCGGGCGTTCTATTGTTAGGCCTAGCGTGGAATATGAGGAATGTTGGTTTTGTAGTACGGTGCTTGGACCCGATCTTTTGGTGTAGCCCATCGTTGAGATTCCAGGTAGGAGAGCGATTCCTACCCTCCAGCAAGTTTGATAGTGATTTCTCCTCGTTTGATTTCTCCTCGTTTGATTTCTCCTCGTTTGATTTCTCCTCGTTTGATTTCTCCTCGTTTGATTTCTCCTCGTTTGATTTCTCCTCGTTTGATTTCTCCTCGCTAGATTGTCGTTTTTAGGGCGGACTTCCAGCCAGGATGAGGTTCCCTTTTCGAGTTTACCCTTACAGGGATGGCGACCTCGACAAGGTGGGAGAGGCAGGAGTTCGACACGTAGCGGATGTCAGTGCCAGGACTCAAAGGATTGCTGTCGAACCGGCTTATTGAAAGTAATATAGGTAGGTAGGATGAAAGAAAAATGAAGAATTGCCTAAGGAGAACTTGGACAAAAAAGCGACTGGAATTCCTCTTTCGTTTGATATACCTCTAGGGCTGTACCTAATACGTTGATTTATTATATGATCTTTGGCAGCCTTTATGAAACAACTCGCACTACGAATTTACATGTAGGTATATAAAATACCTTCCTTCGTTCTTTTTTTCAGCAACCTCATCAATGGTCCCATGATCTTCAAGAGAGCGAGTTCAAGGAACTTGTTGCACACCAGATCCCACCTTCACGGCATGATAAAGGATACGTGGTACACTCGTGCGAAAACGTATGATTTGGGGGATATAGTGTTGAAAGGATCCTTTTCTTATATAATGAGGTCTTATACAATGAGGTCATGGTTGAAGGAGAGGGGGCAAGAGGACTGGTGGTTAATATACATAGTTAGGGAGCTCTCTGTGTGTATCCAATGGAAAATCAAAACAGGTGAATAGGTGAGGTGAGAGTGATTGGTATCGATAATTACGGTAATATTACCTGTATGGTCGCGTCTTCCCGCGACACCCATCTTCCTCCGTCAACACCGGGCCACCATGCAGGTCCCAAATGTAACTCTGGTGAGTTTCTCCACCATCAGTAACGAAGATGCTCTCTAACTTCTCCGTCTATTTAGGACGACCTCCAAGCCTTCCAATCTAAGCATTTCCCAGGTCAACAACTGACCGCGCTTCCCCAAGAGAGTGACCAGAGCACAGACGAGGATCTCGGATACTACCCAGATGGAGTGAAGCGTACACTCACAGATGAGCAGATTCGGATTTTCAGACATAGTGAAATCCATGCCCTGCTCCGAGAGAAGCAGCTCAAGGATGACGAGGCGCAGTACCAAGCTCGGATGCAGTCATCTCTACTTGATGGATCAGAGGGTAAATCGGACTCTGCATCGGAGAAGCGGCCTCTAGACGCTGAGTCACAGACGCAAGGCGGAGATCAGAAGCGGTTGCAATCACAGTCACGGAAGGGGTCTAAGAGATACACTCCAGAGGACAAGCCTTCGAAGCTCCTAGATTACGGAGACGACTCTGATCAAACACCAAAGGCTAGGCCACCGTCACAAATGCCCTACCAAGGTCGCAGAATTATCTCCTACGATGACTGACCTAATCTACCTGACATACGCTATGTTCAAGTCTATTCCCCCATCTCCAGATTGAGTACCTGGTCAGAAGCCCCTGTCTTTGATCCAGTGGACAACCCAAATCTACACTCCACACAGAACCGGCCAAGCGGTAAGTTATCTAAATTTTATTCCACTGTACCCTTGCCCGTTCATGATGAATACATTGTATCATCCTTAGCCGGAAAGCCATACCATCTGCGGATGTGTGAGGCATTGACGACCTTAATCTTCTCTCTGAGGGCTTCTTCATACCTTTCAATCACATGCACACATGTTTAGTTGCGATTCTAACAACTTAACAGTTCCATTACTTCATGTCGGCTTCTTTTACGTGCCATTTTTCCAATCCGTGCAAAGGACCACCAACCCACTACTTCCACAAAGAAGTTCTCAGCAGTCACCCTCTATCGCTGGAGATCCCAAACGACATAATGATGAGATGGATTCTGCTCCCCTGCAGCTGCTGGATCTTTGACCAAAACGCTTGGTCTCGACGATTCTACCGGTATAGTTGTCAAAGAGCACACATTCCCACCGACCCGCAGCATAAAGACAAATAGAGCACCTCTCGTATCTCGTACCTTTATTCAACTTGTGCCCAGTCTTAGCCGGCATCTCCAAGCATCACAAACCCGAAGATCAACCACCTAATGCAGGGATTGCCGGGAGGTCATTGAAAACTAGGTATTACATCTGAGATCTATGACAAAGGCAAGTAGTCAAAATTTCAGCATATGATTATATTGGTACACGTCTATTTCCATGCAACGCTGTAGTATGTATATGCAAGGGACAATTAAGTATACAGGGCAAAACCAACTCAAGCAGCAACTTGAGATCGAAACAAGGTATCCAAGATATGAAAACAAATGCCCCAAATGCGAAACCAGAACGCCAGAAACCCCTTCCCAGATAGATTTTATACAAGCCAAGCTAACCCGCACACATGCAGCTAAGCATTATTCGCACAAGAAAAGCTAGCACTGCTGGGGTTATCATGAAGAGCTTTCCCGGAGACCCAAAGACCAAGACCACACAGCGCGACGCCAACAGAAATAGCAAACAAATTCAGGCAAGTAAGGGCAATCTTCTTTGGCGACGAGAACCACAGACCCTTATTCATGTACAACCAAAAGATACCACTGAAGCCGTAGGTAAACCAACTAGCAAACAACGCGGTAATCAAGCTGAGCAGGTTACTGAACACGGGGATCGCGGAGGAAATAATCCACGCCAAGATCCACAATGCGAGAGCAATACCGATCCATGATCCCGTGGCGATCCAATCGCGCTTGTGCATGCGGTCTGTGCCCTGGAAGACACGCAAATACACATACTTGAACGCGACGTGGCCGTTGATGACACCGGCGATGATGATAGTCGGCAGGGAGATTCCGTATGCGACTTTCGCGACCATCGGTGAGGCGGAGCCTAGTGCTGGAGAGGTGACACCGCTACCGGCGTACCGGTAGATCACGAGTGCGGCGGTGATGTACAGGCCCATGTCGATGCCTTGCAGGAGAAGGAGGGATTTGGTGAAATCTCTGGGGTTCTTGAGTTCGGCCATTAGACCGAAGAAGGCTGCGTGGCCGCAGAAGGCGAAGACGATGTTGCAGACTGCGGAGAAGCCGTGGAAGAGGTCTGTGTTGACGACTGCGACGACGTCTTGTCCTGGTTTTGTGATGCCGACGGCGATCATGACGATTATGACTGAGGTCATGATGCTTGCGAATGCTGGGGTTTGTTAGTTGGTGAATTCTTTTGGGATTGAGGTAGGAGGGGAGATGGAAACGTACAAACTATGGATAACCACGACATCTTTTCAAGAGTGCGAGGCAAGGAACAGAGGAAGGAGATGACCATGCCGACGATGCCGAAGACGATGGAGCAGGTGCCGTGGTTTGTGATGGTGTTCATGGCAACGGTGAAGGTCAACAGGTGGCTGGCCATGATGAAGATGAAGAAGATGATCTGTGCAGCACCGAGGAATTCTCGTCCCCATTTTCCTCCTATCACCTCACCGGCATCTGCCATCGTGGAGATGTGTGGATATTTCCATTTCATCTGTCCGATCACGTAGCCGGTGTATGTGGCCAGTGAGCCTAGGAAGACCAAGACGAGGATCGCGCTAGGGATATGGTTAGCTCCAATTCTTGCCCTGTGAGTCAGAAGGTAGCCTTACGGAAGAAGTCCCAGACCTGCCACAGCGGCGGGCAGTGAGAGCACACCCAGTGATACTGTTTCGGCGACCATCACTAATAGAATGTTAGATTGGAGGTTAATATTTTGATATAGTATGATATCACATACGCAGACCACATTGCCTAAACAAGATATAAGTTAGCCACAGAACTATTGCACATTTCGAGCTATGCAAACATACCACCACTTAAGTACTTTGTACTTGACTTCAGCGAACTCCTCGTCGCCAAAAGCATCTTGTCTGACTTTCGGAACCTCAACAAACTTCTCAGGATCAGACTGCAAGTCGGCGGGATTGACATAGTGACTCTTCTCATTGGAATCGAAATCCAAACCAGCAGGTGAAGAGCTCATAGCGAAGATATCAAAACCAGCGACGTATACCCGGGAAGTAGATATCACGTCGGGAATCGAACGAAAAAGCGGACAACAAAAGCGAATCGCTTGATACAACAAATTGAGAAGAGATAGAGATCTTAACGAAAGGAAAATAATATTAAAAAACCCTTCTAGAAAAAAAAAGCACCCACCAAGTGAGTAAATTGAAGAATAAAGAATCCGCCACCCGAAACAGATGTGGATCGCCGACCAGCGGACCGAGACGACGAATCACCTTGTCGGGACGTAATAGAAAACCCGAAAAGGACTTGGTTCGCTGGAGCCAAATGGGCAAATCTGCTGGTCAAAACTGGGGAAAAGGAAAACTTCGCTCCGATGCCGGCCTCCTATTATAGAGGCTCATACCTGACTGTTTTCTACAGTTGAAGAGTGGGATGATGAAAATCTCGAAAACCGTTAAAGATCAGAGGCGAATATTTCGGCCCACGTGTAGATTTTAGGGGAACTTTAAACTAATGAGCTTATTTTTATCGGTCTAGCCTATTAAATGATCTTGCAGAATGTCGTGCTTGCATCTCTCTGCCCTAAATTGCACTTCGGTAGATCGGGTCGGAGTTGGGTCCCTAGTTCCGGTTTCTAATTATATGACCTCATATGGATCTCTGCAGGGGGTAGAGAGGTAATTACCTCTACTTTATCTTGTTTTCGATTATTTACGAAAGGAGCTGAAGCACTGAATAAGTTCAATAGGTAGTCAACCTTAAGTTTTGGATATTCCTGCCAAAATGACCGCAAGAGCCAACATGCAATATACTGGAAGAGAACCCGATTTTATGAGCTTTTTCCTAGCGGTATACTACTGACAATGTTCCCAATTTTCGCTTTGACGCTATCGAATCTAACCCGCATTTCGTGTAAAGCGCGCAGATCTACCCCGGCAACCCGTTCACGTTCCTTTAGGCTGGGCTCTGACAAACTCCAAGCAAGTGAGATATGAAAGCACCCCGAGAAATCCTCACCGCTCAGACTGCTGCTTTTATCACGATGGGATACACTGGTCTGCTTCCCTTGTGTCGAGGGGGTTGCGTAAAGTGGTGGCTGGCCAAATCGAGCAAGAGTGTCATTTGATAGCTTCAAGAGGCGGTTCAGACCATCATGGCTCGGTCTCTGCACGCCCAAGACAAGAAACCAGCGTGTTTTTTCATAGTTAGATGACCAGTATAAAGTATCTGGTTTCACGTCAAATCTAGTTCGAGTATTAGAGAATAATTAAGCAATTTCCAAGTTGGCCACATACGATAAAACATGTGAGTCGTGAATAGCCTTTTGTAGCGCCTCAGTGAACAAGACACGCTGCTCGGTGCGAAGAATCACCGGCCGAGACAGGCTGATATGAAGGGGTAACTGGGCACCGAGATCGCTATGCAGAAGACTGTGCACCGTGGGGGCCTTCTCATCTGGCACATTCCCAGACTGAGAAATGACATCTGCAAGGAGCGATAGCTCGTCTTTCCCCGGGTACCCTGTCAAAGTTAGCCCCTTGTACGGGTCGCATGAAACCAAGGCCCAGCACTTACATTCGAGGTAAAGATGTGTTGGCCAGTTTCCTTCCACATGGGGAATTACGCGCGTGCGGCCGCCATGAAGGCTGGGATCATCTTGCACGCTCACACGTGTGCTCGAGGCATAGAGGTTGTGGAATGATGCAGGTAAGGGCGGTAGCGATGGGCCTGGATTGATGTTGTGCCGGGGTTTCTTAGCTGGAGGGAGAGAAGATCTAGATTCTGAGTCGGATTCCGAATCAGAATATTGTACTAGAGGCATCTCATCCGATGTGACAGGGGAGTTGTTTTGTTGATGGAAGTCTGGTTTCTCAGATGTGGGGCAAGTTAAAGTTGGGAGCCAATCATCGTTTTCAATTTCATCTATAAATTTATATTTTATGTTTTTTGGCACTTCTCTACTCTTACATCGTGTGCCACTAGGTTACAGGACTGAGAAATCTTAGTAATGTAATGTTTGGACTGTACTTCTGCTATAATTACATATCTCAACTGCCTCACCCCTCGAGTGACGGTGCACAAGAAAAGGCCACCGGTCATTATATTATCTCAGTCGTGAATGTGATCATCATCCCAGGTTTCTACTACCATAATGGTGCGTTTGTGCACCCTACCCCACACAAACGAGTAATCCTCAATCTAAAACATCACTCCTGTGTGATGCAATTGTTGTAGGTGCACCAACACGCTGGGAGCGAGAACCCCGCAAACCAGCCCATAGCATGAGATGCATATTCCCGAGGGAGAATATAACTTGAATTATTAAATTGTGCTTATAAAATACTTGATTCGCCGGTCACATCAACTGACCGGCAAATCTAGGCATTGTGCCTAGAAGTAAATTTCCAGCACTTTAATACTTCGAACCTTGTAGGACAGAACTTTTGTCCATCCCTGAGAAGCTTACGCTTCCTTGTCTAGCACAAAGCAAGATACAATCTACGGCCAATCAAATATATGCCGAGCAAGAATACGGTGAGCGAATGCTTCTAGAATCCTCGGTTTGTGGGACGTAAACTCGGATCTTGCATATCAAGACGACTGTAACTGCTGCCCCTGTTTCACACAGTGAGGAATATCTCGAAGGTTTGAGTAATCTCTGACTAAATTGGTGCTTCATAAATCTACCGCTGGTTGCCGTGATTAAAACTCTACTGCAACTTCGGCTGCTGATCGTTGTGGGCACCTAGGAGGTTGTGAGTGGAGTGGAATAGGTTACAGCGGATAGGGAGGCAGCTGGGGCGATGGTGGAGGATGGGGTCGTGGTAGATAAGGGAATTCTGTTCCACACTTCCAAGGCATCTTCCCTTTTTATCTCGATCTGCTATTTGATGGTTGAAGTGGAAAGAGCAGACCTGGAATACGGAGCTTGACGGGCAAAGATACATGTATATATCGTTGAAGACTGGAATACTATACTCGCGACAGATATACCCAATTTACTCTACTACGCTAAAGCCAGTAGTAACAGCTCGTTCGACTGTTCCTATTAGCCTAAGAGCGATTTGTTTGTCCCACTCCAATATTAGCTCTACCTCCCGCCCAGGGATAATACAGTGAGAAACCCCAATTTCTCTTCTTTTCAAGCAACAACTTGCGTATTACGAGGAATTACTTAGTGGTAAACATACTTCAAACATATGACAACAACTGCATGTAGATGTATGTATGTGTCATTTTCAACCCCCCAAAGATATTGATTCGGTTAACGCTGGTCGCTCTTGGGGTACCACTGTCATCATCAAATGCACTGAAGATATTCTGGACGCTGTGCAGTGCGACTAGGTGGTGCAATGGTAACCTGTCTGCGGGACGTTAATCCTCGCATGGGGAGCTCTTTGGGGGTCGCCGTGTTCTCATCCTAGCCTTGGCGGTTGTTCTCCTTTTGCCAGCAAAATGGCGTAATGGTAGAGTCATTCTGTATGGAATTTGACGAAAGATGTACATAATAGAGCGATCAACACAGAACGATATGGAACGATATGGAACCCCACATCATCATTTTTAGTGAGACAGCATAGACAAATCCCGTGCATTAACTATCAAAAATAAATACCCGGTCATATCCTAATCACAACGGTTGGACGACATGCTTAACTGCAAATTTAATTGATATGTACTACCACCGGATCAATGACCAGGATAAGAATCGGACTTCATAGACGAAGCACCTCAATCTCTCAAATGATCTATCACTGGCTGGATCTATTTCGCATGTAAAATTCAAGGAGTAGTTTGAATATAAATAAATGCCATTATTCGCCTTTCTTGGACCATTCGATCTCAACGACTTTCTATCCAAATCAACTAATAAAACAAACAATCTAGTCAGCACTACCTTCGAGTTCTCTGCTAATATAAACCTTCAGCTAACCAGACAGGTGAGCAACAGCTCAAGCTCAACAAAACAAAGATGAAACCCAGCATTATTCTCACGATCATTGGCCTGAGCCTTACCGCCATTGCGGCCCCTACTCCGGGAAACTGTACGCAATTCTTTCCCTCCAAGCTAATAAGAATAATTCCTAATCAAACTGAGTTGATGAAGACCTTGGAACTCGTGATGTCAATGCCGACGATTCCAATCCTACTCCTCCAACCCCTCCGACCCCTCCCACACCCCCTAGTGCTCCCCTTATTCCAGCTCCTGCTACCCCTACAAACACACCTGGAAAAGTCCCTGGCAATTACCCTCTAGTCCCAGCTGCTCCACTAACTCCCCCGACTCCTCCTACCCCTCCTTCCCCTCCATCTCCTTACGTTGGTCCTGTCAATGCACCCGGATATCCTTATGTCAATGCTCCACCGACTCCCCCAACTCCCCCCACTCCCCCTACCCCTCCAAGCCCTACTGGTCCTATGTATAGTCCGGTTTTCGGTTCTAGAAACTACCCAAATGCCCCTGCTACTCCCCCAACTCCACCAACTCCTCCCACTCCTCCCACCCCTTCTGGGGTCTGAAATGGTGATGTGCTTGGAAAGTAGCACTAGGTGACGGTGGTACTGCCCATGCTAATAAGGATAGTGAAGATGGATGCATGGTACTTGATGCTTGGTGCTATATGTGAGTTGTGATTGAGCCTACACAAACTGCGGACACTCTTTAAGTTATATCTTAGTATAATGAATCAATGATCGAAGTTTCAGCTCTATAGCTATGTGAGAATGTTGATTGTTCATTAAAACGCGATACTGAACCAGTCAATGCTCCGGGGTTGCTATTGTAATTCCATCTTCGTTGCCCGCTCCAACTTGGGAGGGTGGCAAACCTACCCCGGACGATGTTCCTCCTCTGCTTTGTGGTGTTATACAGTCACTTCACATACAATTTTAATATCATCATTTATTTATCATCTAGTCCCTTATACATGCGATAAATTATGTCGTGGGCTGGTCAAAGGGGGAAAAGCATTATCATTGGTTGATCGGAAAGTCACTCTACTATCAATATCAACTACTGTTGGGTGATGAGAAATGGTATTGACTCATTGCCCCACTAAATGAATGCCAAAAGAATCCAAAGTCTCAATTGGCTATATTCTATACATTTGTAGCTATGATTGAGACATCGGATCCAGAATGTATGTGTGCATGTAGGATAATGAAGAGACTGGACTTAAATAGTAACAAGGAGTAAAAAGCGGTGAAAGACAAGATACTAAAAGAAAGAAAATTTGGGATTGGCCAAGAGAGGGTGTGTAGATCTAGACCAGGCCAGGGGTATATGCCAAACTGAGTGAGACTGGTGAGCCGCTCCCCCTAGCGGATAAGCTTAATCCATGAACGAGTCATCGCCCGGGAACTCCGGGAATAGATATTCGGCTGCTCTTTTTTTTGATTAATAAGTGAAGTAAGCCATCTTGGCTGGATTGCTAGAATGACGATTGGAAAATAAAAAGAACCAGAAAGAAATATATATATTATATATGTAGAGGCAGATCAGGTAGAGATGTCGTCATAGGAGTCGATCGGTACGTGGATGTGGAAGTCTCGGATGTGGGATGCAACATGGGCCTTGCATAGTTTTAGTCTTTAATGCATGGTGAATCATGGGATTTATTTTCAAGAATAACTATAGAATTTTCTAATCTATAATGTAGTTCAATTCTTTTTGCTTGTGAAGTTGAGTGTGTAGAATATAGGATGATATCACCAACTCCATACTTCGTAGTATCCGTTTACCTATCGGCACTCGGCAGCCTCAATGAACTAAGCCCAACGTGTTGACCCACATGATTTTTTATTCGAAGTGCTAATTGGTAGATGTATAGTAACTGAAAAGTTAATAAAATACTAAGCCCACTTTAGAGATGACTAGACCATGTATAGCCCCGAGGATCAATTAAGGGTCGGCCAGTCAAGTCATCACGTCACGTCCGCGGCTTCCCTTTGATATAAGCTCTTCTCGAGTCACTCGTTATTCTCCCTTCTACATCTACCCATCACCACCCATTTCTCTCTTCTTTTCTTACCAACATCCTCAGCTGTTGTACGAGCTACCCTGCATCACTCAGCCTCAGCTGCTCTAAATAAAGTACTTATATCACCGGGTATTCCTTGTGCCTTGCGGCTTTCATCACCCTGGATACCTTTTCATCTTACAAATACCCATCAAACAATCTCGAAATGGCAGTTGACTGCATCTCCATGGCATCAGCCCACCATCCCCATCATCCTTTCAACCAACTCGGTCAGGATCGACACCAAGACGTGGGAACAACCATGGGCAGCAACAACCCATATGCGCGCTACATTTCACCAGCGCCCTCCTACTCTCGACGGTCGCGTTCTGAGTCAGTGAACTCCACGCCTTCAATCTGGTATTCCGGCGCACCCGAACATCATCCGGTGGAGCCGAGACGCAAACGCGAGCACTCTGCTCCTCATCATCGCCGCACCAACAAGTACCCCCGCAACTCTCAGCGTGTGCAACCCGATATCATCGACAAGCTGGACAATGTCACCGATTTCTCCTATCACCACGAGGGCCCGTACGACGCAGCCCGCCCTGAGCGAAACCGCTTTGCCCAGTCCAGCCCGCTGGAAGCTGTCAAGGAGTCCAATGCCGAGGCCCTCCGGGCGACTCCCCACCACAAGATTGCCGACGCCCTAAACAGTCACCGCCCACTAGATGGCGTTGCCTTTTATCCTCCTGGAACCATGGATCGCAATGGCCAGGAGTACTCCTACGAGGAAGGCTCGAATATGATGAATGACTTTTCTGGTAACTTCATGCGCCTTCCCGGCACGGTATGTCTTTCTTTCCCAATACTTTTGTGTCACCATTAATAACTTGGTTCCAGAAATTCACCGAAGAGGATTTCAAGGACGATCCATTCTACAACCGTCCCCAGGTGAACCCGTTCTCTGAACTACGGAGGAAAATCAGTCTGCGACTCAAGAAACGACGCAACACTCATTAAATTGGTTTCCAACTTTGACTACTTCACGACCCTGACGAAAGACTACTTGATGATTACTACGGAATTGATGATGGCTGGATAGCCTGGACTCTTTGGGATTCGGGGTTTGGGTTTTGGTTGGGTTTCAATTTTTGGGTATGGAAACGGTCATGTGTTATCCTATTTGTATTCGGGAGTTTATGCTTATATTGTTTTGAGAGTTTTTCATTAATGGTGTCGATAAATGATGTACGTACCTTGACAAATGAAAGGCCAAGGCCACTTTCCAATTTTCCCTCGTGTTCGTGTCGGTCAACGTGACTATAGTAGTCAACTCAGCCCTTGTAACTTGGCTTTTAATATAATGATTCCACCTTGCACTGGTATACTTGCACTTGTATATATATGATCCAACTCCATCTATTATTCTCTTTTGTCACACACAATGAGCGTATACTGTAGATTTATCTACAACACAAACACTACCGTATCTACCCCCCCCACCCCCCACTGCCGATCGAAGAATGTCACCTGTTCCACAGTGCCGCTCGGCCTCACGCCGTATCCGCCCCCTCGCAGATGTGCAGATCACGAGTTCCCCATTCCACCCCCAGACACCGATAACAATGACAGCTTGGGGTTCCGATCACCAAAATAGCGGCGGAATGGATTCCCTACCTCATCATAGCATCAGCATGAGATTAATATGTAATCATGTTTTCCACGCAGACCTATTTCCTAAAAAGGTAATTATGTACATCTCTGCTCCGCGCATGTACCAAGAAGACACACATTTGATCCCACTCCCATCACCCCGCAATCATATGCAATAATCTGCGTCTCGAAAACTTTGATACTAACTTTTCTCCACGCGTCTTTAATCCTTGGCAATGTGATGATGAAAGATACTTGCAGGAGATGAGTACTGTTCAATGTATGCCTTTGGAAAGCCTGCCCCAATGGCGCTTTGGGATATACACCATTCTGGCTATGGGGAAGGTCGGGCGCCGCGAACGCTTTGGGCATGAATATGAGTTGACGTACAGCTGCATGGATTACGAACGAGATTATGCGGTGTGATAGAAATGCGGGGTTGAATATGTTAGGTATGATGAAGAAAATTCGTCTTTTTTTTTCAGATGGATGAGAGGGTGGATATAGATTTAGAAGACTATTAATAGGAGAATCTAGAAATATCAAGGACATTGACGAGGGAAGAACATGTCTGTTGGAGGACGGGAATAAACCGGACAGGTCACGTGACACACCCGCAAGGAGCAAGATGGTCTGTGAAACCAACTTGGGGATTTTACATAGGCCCTCTATTTTAGACCATAACTTTGTCTTTTTGATAGTGAGCTCTGATCTTGTTCCTGTTGTGGATATCCTGCACAACTTGGATCAGGCGCACGTGATGGGTTGGATGCATCGCTGCCTGAGGCTGCGGTGTCAGGACCAGGTTTGTTCAGCCTTGCGAGGGTTCCCTATACATATAGCTATCGTTCGACGACATTTTCTCGCTGGATTCGCGATTTTAATTCAATTTCACATACCCATCTTAAATAATCACCTGAGCAAGACCCTTGAAAACCACCAACCATCCAACAGTGCCCATTATTCATGCGATGGGATCACACGTTAATGGCGCCATCACCTAGAAGCCTTCAAGGTGCATGTTGATGCACCTTACTCGGGTGGTACCACATTTATTTGATCCGAAATAAGATCTTTCTGCAGGTACGAAGTACAGGCGGCAGGATTAACATCACACATCGTTTGACACCACGAAATGTATTCACTAAAAGGAACACAATCGATATCAGGGTCCTGCTCCACTATGAACTTACCTATTCAATAACTATAGAAGTCACATGCGACTGATATCTCTTTGAATGGACAGACGCCCGACGCTACGAGTGCCTCATATGCTAGATAGCGGAGTCCGTCGGAGCAAAAGGATGGGAATCAACTCGTCATGCCGATTGTTCCTGACGACGTTGCAATCACTTGCAGATCACGTTTGCTAGCAACCAATGCCTGATTCATAGTGGGTCGCGCCCCGACTAGTCATGGTCTCTATTGGCAAAGCTTGGTAGTGCGTTCATGTCTTAATATCCGCCCGGAGCGCAGATCGCTCCGACCAGCACGCCTTGCTGAAAGGGAATTGAAAGACAATGGGATTATAAAAGCAGGCCTTCCTGCTCCTCTATTCTAAGTTTGGTTCTCTAGGCTCGCGGAGGATTATCCCACAATGTTGGTTTTGGCACCCCTTATTTCCTTGGTGGCTGCGGTCGCGGCGTTGCAAAACCCGCACCGTAAGGCTCAGTCTCTCAGACAGCCTGCGAATGATCTGCGCAAAAGAGAGGTCTCTTCTTCTCCGGCTGAGCACAAGTACCTCAACGAGAAGACGCAAAGTAAGTTCGGAACTTTGTCTTCGTAGAATCTAAGACTGTCAACTTACAATTCACTTCTAGAATTCCAAGTGAACGGTACTCACTTCCCTCAAGTCCCTTTTGACATCGGCGAAAGCTATGCTGGACTTTTGGAGAACACGCCCCA